CCAAGGATGAGGTCATATGAGGTCATGCACAGCCATGCACAGCAGGTCACCTGACCATCCAATCCTTCCAGCAGGTTCCAGCACATGCCAAGGTATACCAGCTACTTCCATGTCATAAAGGCTTAGTCATGTCTCTTGACCAAGCAATGAGCTGGTGCCCTGACAGATCCTAAGAGACCAAGTCTGAAGAGACAGTCCCAGGCAGAGTAGGCCTTATATTTATACCTCTGTGGTGGAACCTGCTAGAACATCTTGCTTACTCAGCCTAGTCAGGTGATCAGGTCATATGACCAAGGATGAGGTCATATGAGGTCATGCACAGCCATGCACAGCAGGTCACCTGACCATCCAATCCTTCCAGCAGGTTCCAGCACATGCCAAGGTATACCAGCTACTTCCATGTCATAAAGGCTTAGTCATGTCTCTTGACCAAGCAATGAGCTGGTGCCCTGACAATGAGAACCTTGCTGAAAGAAGGGGTGTTGGGCTTACCTCATGAGCTTTTATAGAGATTAAGCATAGGTTGAACCTCTAGATTCTGAGATTGTGGCCTATTGGCAGAGACTTCAGCTACATTAGCACCAGTTATTCAGAAGCCAACAGTCTCAGCTGGAGCACCAGTATTCACAGGTGTAATGAAGGAGTCAGGATGTGTCAGCAGGTTATTAAGTATCTCATTCTTGCTGCCTGAGGTCAATCAGCATGCAGGAGAAATCTGAAAAAAAATGTTTAAGATTTACCATAGGCTTAACTCAGTTATCAACTTGTTAGTAAGCCAATTCAGGTTACCAGCAACAGAGACCGCCAGTGTTATACCCAAAACTGCCTGAGTTAAAGACTGAATCGGAGCCGGAATTTATCTCCGGGTTGCAAAATTTCTTCCGGCTAAATACTACCAAGCCCTGTTCCCCTTCATTTCCTAAATTTAGAATTTGATGCAATCTGCTACTGTCTGAATGACCAGGCAATGAAGTAAGCAGGCTCGTATTACCCAAGGTTTTTTGCTAACTATTTCCTCCGCTGTCTAATTGGTGAAACTTGTTTTATCAACATATTCCCACGAGCTACGGTGGCCGTCTCCGCAGTCAGGGAACGAATTTGCTGCCCGGACATGGACCCAGGAGACCGGCAAATTAATTGCATCCTTTCGAAGGCCCGAAGGGTTGCTGACCATCGAGCTGTTTCGGTCGTTTGCGCGGGGCTCCGTTTGCTCCCCATGCATAACACCGGCATCATTGCTAGCACTACGGTCTACCGGTTAATCACTCAACAAGTTTTATGACATATGGACCTCAGCGGACTTGGTGGTAAACTTAGGCCAATGCAGTTAACCTACCTATCTTTGTGATCTCCATGCTCTGCTAGTCGCCGGCTGTCCTGAGCTTGCAAGCTTGTGCCACCTCACTGCTTATCAATTGGCATTGTCCTCGACTATCCCGCTGACTAGCTCAGATCGTTGTCCAAGCACTGGATCCATAAATCCGTTGTCTTTCAATTATGATGTGGCCGGAATACCCAGACATTTCTCTCCCCTTTATGCGGCTCTGCGGGGCCTTCACATTCCGGAGAGAGCATCACTGTCTTCGGAAGCCTATTTGTAGGCCTTTTCCAATCATTTTCACTGTCATCTGTTCACAGCGGTTATACCAATCTCACGGGCGATCTGTTCATTGGTCTGGCCCAACCGAGCGGTTAGTTCGCACGTCCGCATACCCGTTACACGAATGGAATCACCTCGCGGAGTGGTACGAGGAAGCGCATTATGGGGCTGCTGAAAAGTTTCGGACAATCGATCGGTTCTGGCACCTTTCCGGAGCAGCTCCGCAGGACCTCGGCGGACCAGCATTCCAGGCACCGAGCCGAAACAGTAACGATTTGGCCCAAGATCCCGTTCCTAGGACTTTCGATCATTCCAAATGCCCGCTTCGAAGCCCCATCAACGATGGAAAGAATATATAAATGACCGCGACGGAGCGGTACGTCCAATAACAACAAGCGAAGCGAGCCATTCAAGCACATTGAACAAGGGAGCCACTTGAACACCTTGTCGTCGCCATCCTTGTCCTCGAAACCAGCCTACATCGTCATGCGGTTTTTCATCACTATCATAGCCGTAGCCAGCGCAACGCTAGCATTGCCGCAGGATCTCACGTCTATTATCACTTCTACAATTGATGCATGGTGTAACGGCGAGCCCTGCGATTCCATGCGATGAACACCGGTTTGCTCTTAGAGCGTATACCGTAACGAGTGAGTGTCTACCGTATTGTGTTGCAGCCACAGAAGCTTACTGTTCAAAGAGCCGTATTTCTCTGGTCGGATATTGTAACTTCCCGGACCTTACCCCCAAGAAGCAGTGCCGTGACTTGAAAGGATATATGGACCTTTTTCTTTCCGGGTCATGTATAGTGGGTTTCATTTCATTTGTGTGGAATTGCTACATGTTTGAGTAGCAAGAGGAGTGGATTCAATAATGATCACACATTGCATAGAGTTGAGGCTGTACAGTGTTCTTCAACCGATCGTCAGCTAAGCCGTGTGACTCTTTCATTCAAAATTGAGAGCTTCGAGAGAAAATCTCATCCGACTTTATTTCCCGTGCTGAGATATGTTGTTATCTTGCTCGCAGCGATCGACCCAGCCGGACGTGTCCCCTTATGAGACAGGTCGATTATCCTAGAAATATTTTCCTCGCTCCATCCAAATACCAGATACTTTCGATCAATCTGTGCAAAGGTACGGGCTCATGTGGAGAAGGCCGAAATTGCTGAGTCATGAAGATCGTAGTATGTAGTGTAAGATACCAGCGGGCAGATTAGTCACATGCCGAACGTCCTGTGCAGTTCCCGCGGAACAGTCTATTCTAAACCGGTTGACCGACGCCATAGCCCAGTGCTTTCTGGCCTGCATTCATCCCACGACAACCCCATTCCTAGAGATGTGAATAGCTGGCAGCCAACATCGCGATCTGGTATGTATTCTCGGGACCAGTCCCAGCGAGGTTCCGCGGCGACGTGCTCTCGTGTAGCCCCCCTGGCCCTCTCCAACCATCCATCTCCAGCTCCATCACGCAAACCGACTGAACGTTGAAGCTGGAAGATATGATGATACAAGATCTTCTATTTGGATGAACGCTGTGAACATGGACCTCCATACCTTATCGGTAGGATCAAGCGCTACATAAGCAATGCCTGACTCGGTTGGAATCCACCCCGCCATCGACTACGATCCCCATCGAACATCGAACATGCAACTGCGTATAGGCCATATCTTGCTCGCTCTTGCATTTGCCAGCAAAGTTATTGCGCTAGCGTCGCCGCCAAACGCAGAGGCGCGGCGGTCAACCGTGCGGTATCTCGCATGCGGAGGAAGACAACTCCGGGAAGTAATACGGTTTGGGACATCGGCCGCGGTTTGTCGGGGGCATTTCCGATGGGAAATGATGGTGCTCTGATGAGGTGAGTGCGTGTCATTACGTGACTGGTTGGATGCAAGCTGACAGGGACATGACAGTGACGGATATTCTCGGATTCGCGAGGATCCCTGCGGCGCAGAGGGCCTGATTATCTCAAACTCTCGTTCGTCTCATGTCCAACCCGTCGCCTCTTTGTATCAGCAGCTCCCTCAATGTACATGTACGTACCTAACGCTGGCTGGATACATGTAACAAACGGCGTGTTTCCTGCAGGGCAGATCCGTGTTGCCTTCAACTGAAGCGGCACACATTCTCAGCAGCGCTTAAGTCCCAAGATCTGTATCCCTTCACAGACGCCCATGTCTGTTGAAGGAAAGAGTCATACTAGGCCCACACACTTCTGATGGAAGCCACTAGTCACGCTGATCCACCAGGACGAATGGCATATATCGAGACATCTACTTCCGGATGCGGTGTGCTGATTTTGCAATGTGACTCTACGATGTCGAGATTCTTTGGTACTAACCTTCCACTGCCCCGACAGTGCCGATCTCTGGGAATAGGCTCAATATTCATGTTACTATTATGTGCGATCTACGATTGGCAGGCAATGTTGTCTCTCCTTGGAATAGTAAGTGTGCGACGGGCAGATAAATGACTAGACATGTCCGGCTGGCCGCTGGTGTGCAGGAGTAACGCCTTTTTTGAGGCGTGACTCTCAAGCTTCCGGTCATCAGCGGCGAAACGTGCATCTACAAGGAAATCTTGACGGAAGCAAACATGACTCGGACAAGTGTGGCATCCACACGTGTGAGGCCGATTCCGTCTTCCAAAGGATCCGCGGAAACAGGCCTCATGGCGAAAGCATGGCAGGCCGCCAGGATTTAATTAGCGGCTCTACAAACACGTGGGTCTCGCATGGGTCTCGCGATCGGGCCCGTCTGCGTTTGGTCACAGCAGACAATACGTTTATGCGATCAGTTGGTTATCTGCCCTTCGCAGAACAATCTAGGATATGCATTCCCGAAGTACTGCCCGAGCCCGGATTGTTTGTTGCTAAGCGTCAGTGCTGTCGTTATTCGACTGCGACAGGTTGCGAGCCAGATGATTGTAGTGGGCAGGGGAACGGCCGGCTGAAGTACTGAACTGCGCTGGCCCGATGTGAGGCCATTCACGGGTGCTGTATCTAAAGTGAATTTGGAGAATCGCGTCGAAGCTAGTGAAACGAAGAGGATGTAATTGTGATATTCGGACGTGACCCAATTGCGGTCTGCGCGGTTGGGCGGTGTAGGACCCCGGGCCGCGTGAAGGAGCCTGTTGCCAGCGCATGAGAGAAGCCTGATGTGTCATATCACGCCGCTTCACGCCGAGCCCCGGCAGGGTGGAATTCATGCGCGTTCGGAGGCAAATTGAGTGATGGCATCGCCACCCGCCCGCAAGAGAGGGGAACAGAGAAGGGACCCACCCGTTGAGTCACCAGAGCATTTACGCAGATGGGACCCCCCCCCGGGATTGGTGGGATGAGTCTTCCCTCGTATCCTGGTGTGTCAACTCCCCCCCCTCTCTTTCCACCTAACACACCTCCCTCTTCGGTTATTCACTGCTCTTTCTCCTTATCCCTCCCCCTCTTTCCCCTCCTCCTCTTGGGAAACTGTCAACAAGTCGCCGCACCTTGTTGGTTGACTGGCAAGGCTACATAACCTCAACCCTGTAGCATTCGTTTTCCCTGACCCGCGTCTAGACAAGGAAACTCTTTGGGCAACTCTTCCCTCCCTCTCCTCGAGGAAAAAGGCAGAGCAACAATGCTCGTCCTCGACCCCATAGCAAGCCTTCAAACTATGCCCAATATGCTCTCCATGCCCGCTTGTCTTACTACTCTTATGCCCGCAAATGCTGAATTCTACGGAACAATCAATAATGCACACCTACTCGTCACCGCCCTGGAGGCCCCAGCCGCGATCTGATTATCCAACCCTCCCACCTACTGCTTTACTATCTGCTACTACTACTACTACTGTCGACTCTACTTCGAGCTCGACTCCCAAACCAGATCTGCCGCGCTTTTATCATCGAGTTCAACCCGAATCCGAGCAATCCGTGTCGCTCTACCAGCTCCAACTCTAAGACTCATCTCCAACACCTTTCGTCTACCGACCACATCACTCCCTATCCCAACTCTATCCAACACCACTCTTCAATTTCCGATTTCTTTTGGCTGTTTTCCACTCGTATCAGCTCAAATCACTCTATCTCCAACCTCTCTCCCCGAACCCATCCAATCATTTCCGTCGCCTCCGATCCCCCTCCAGTCATCTAAATGTCACCATCCACCCTTCCCGTTAGTAGGCGGCACGAGCGTGGCGGAAGTACGACGTTGACTCTTGAAACCACCGTCGGAATCGAATCCTCGGCTGTAGGGTACTACCCCACCCTACTGCTGAAAGGCAGCGACGCGACCTCTGAAGAACAGGGCGAAAAGAAAACCCAAAAAAATGTTATAACTAAGATTCAAGACGCGAAGGGCGAGAAAGATGAAGAGGAGAGGCCGAAGGAGAAGGATGAAAATCTCCAGGCAGAGCTCATTTCACCGCGTGAGACAAGGAGAAATGCGCTCGAGAATGTTCTCGAGGCGATGATGGCGGTTGAAGAAGCACAAGAGCATGTCGAGGCCCCGGGCGAGAGAAGGAGGAAAGCGCTTGAGAGTGTGCTCGAGGCGATGATTGTGGACGAACACGAGGAAACCGAGGCTTCCGCCTCTCCCCAACCCGAAGCTGACCTGGAAGCGTCTTGCATCCCAGGCTCCTCGTCCCCCCGTTCTACGCGACACGGGTCAAGTCGCAACATTTTGGTGGAAAGTCCGGAAGACGGTATAACCGCCGGTCCGAGTCGCATATATGCGCGCGAAACAGAGGCAATCTACCTGCCCTCACGGGATACGTCCCGCCCTGACCCGACTGACGTCCCGCCTACCCCTCGCGCGGCGGAGCTCGCCCTCCGGACGCGCTTTGCCATGGAGGAGATGTACATGTCTCCCCGCGTGTTGAGTAAACAACCCGAACGCCAGTCCACTATGGATCAACAAGATGCCTTGTGGGGGTTGGCTGAGGCTGCAGCGAGCGCAGCGGCGCGTCAGACGCAGAAGGAACTCGCGGACCTTATCGGTGAGTCGGATTCTTGTTCCGGAGAGAGGCGGGGGTTGAACGAGCGTGTCGTACGTGCAGCCGAAGTGGCGCGTGTGATCAGGAAGATGTACCATCTCGCCTGGGAGCTTGAGGTCGAAGTGGACAGTGCGAACGATGTTGGTACCAGCAAGGCCGGAGCCGGTTCCCGTCCCGGAACTGGAAATTCCAAGCCGAGGCCGGATCCGATCGAGAAAGCGCAGGATATCTGTCAGATTTCCCAGGCATCGCAAGCGAGCGACAGTCGCAGTGACAATCAGTCGAACCCCCCCGCCCCGGTGCTTCCACATGCGCCAGCAGTGGAGAATAAGGTCGCTGGCATCCGCCTTTGGTTGGAGGACGTCCAATCCCAACTTGCAGACTCTCCCGATTTACCCTCGTCTGCTTGGGCAGGAAAGATCAGCCTTGCGCACTCTCCGGAACCGGAGAACACGTACGAAAAGACGCTCGTCGGAGACGTCTTGTCCGTGCCAAACAAGCTTAACGACCAACCGCTCGACGACGTCGTCGAGCGCGTCTCGCTCACCGCAGAGCTCCCGATCCGTGCCTGGATCCGCGAGCTCCTGCGTCGCACAGACGTCTCTTCCTCCCAGCTCAAAGTCGCGGCGTGCTACATTGTAGCCCTTCGCCCCCACATTACCTTGGCCATGGTCCAGCGCCAACAGGCCGCTCATGCCGTGGTCCGCGGTACTCCTCTGACGCATTATCAAGCTTCCCCACTCACCTGCCCGCGCCGCACGCTCGTGGGTGCACTTGTTCTCGCCTCCAAATTTCTCGGAGAGAAAATATACTCTCTTCGTGCCTGGGCACGCGTCACCGGGCTTGAGCCTGGCGACTTGGTGCAGGCGGAACAAATCATCGGTACTGCTCTCAAGTGGGACCTCTGGGTGGGCGCGAATGTTCAGAATCTCAGGAGCGACGTCTTCACTCGCATGCTGCTTCAAATTGTCTCCGTGCCCAAGGTGGAGCCCCCACCCGCGGTGAGAGGTGCGCGTCCGAAGGAGCAAAGTTCAAGTCGGACCGGAGCGCTGCCCCGCACGGAAGGCGATATCGCCCTCCAACGGAGCAGGAAGCAGACGGTTGGCTCTCCCACCTCCAGCACACAACGTGAAACTGTCGCCTCGCCGTCCCCTTTTGGAGCCAAGCGAACTCCTGCGATGGATCACCAACTCGAACATGCATTGCACCGAAAGCGTCCCGCTCCCGAATCGGACACACATCCTCTCTCTGACACTAGGCCGCAGAAACGCAAGAATGTTGAGCACGTCCACGCCCACGCTCACTCGCATGGTACCAATGGTGCTGCCGGTGCAGGGTGCGGAACGGACGTGTACATCAAGTCTGAACCGGTGGACGAGCGAGGGTTGTTGACCGAAGCGTACTAGTCTTGTCAAATGAAGCCTGGGCAACATTCGATGCGACATTTCTCGCCTTCCTCAACTGTTGGCAATCTGTAACACTGGCTTTTTGATACCCGCCACCCGAGCCGTCCTTCCAATCAATGAATGGTCTGATAAGTCTACCCTGTAAAATATCACAGTATCCTGTTCAGAAGAACTCGATTTTTTTCCTCTCTTGCTTTCATTCTTTTCCTCCCATATCCCAACGCGATACGAGTCCGACGTATATAACTACCGACGCTGTGCTCTTGCTTTCTCCTTTCTCACCTCCGCGTGGTTATGTGTCTGTTCGAAGTGCGAAACTGACACAGGAAAACGAGTCGCCGTTGAAGGACGGCGCCAGCTTACAGACGGTGTAGTGTATATGTTTTAGGGCGGTATCCCTCAGCGGTCCAGCTTGCTGGAATGGGGCGGGAGAACGTAGTGTAAAACAGCTCTTCACTCTATGTTTTGTCAAAATAAATTCTGGTATTTTCATGGGGTCCAAATAGTTAGTTACTAAATTTGCTTGCATCGGCGTATGACTTGACAAGGACGTTACACTGTTGTATTCGTAGTGTAGGCTCACGTCACGGCCCAGTTTAGCATTACATCATACTACGTGTTGAGTAATTAATGGAATAATACCGCTTTGTTTTCAGCCATCATTCGTTATGCTTCAGGGGTCCCTATTCATTGTGGTTCTGGTGGTGCCCGAGAGGCCGGACCAATCACAGCGAGGACACGTCGACTCACGTCACTCATCCGGCGGGAACGCACTTACCCCTTCGGGGAGCACAGCAAATTGAAGGAGTTGCGCTAAGGAAGAGTGGGGAATGTGCCTGGTTGTTAACGAGACGCGGAGAGGGGTGTGTAAGAGGCCACGTACCAGTTGTGGAGGGCAACGTAGATTTGTTCGCTAGGGACGTGCGGAGAGGGAGAAAGCACTTTCCAGACTGGTGCACGGACCCCTCAGGGGGGGCCACGCAAGCTGCGGAGAGAGGGACGTGACCGGAAATGTCTACGGCACAGCAACGAGGCCGCGGGATAAGGTGTTGATGAGGGCGGTGACTCGAAGCGCGTCAGCTTTGGGCGGGAGAACGGAGTCAGAGTGCGCGTGGATGTGTATTATTCGCTGGATTTCTTGAATGGGGGACCCCTGACACTTCTTGGTGTGCCATTATTAGTTGATTTTAAATGTCAGGAGGGGACGATAAGGGGACGGATAACGTCGTTTTAGTGAGGGCACAGGGTTTGAGACGGGCGTTTGTTGCATGTGTGCAAATCCGGTCGGGGACGGACATGCGGGGTCCAGGGGCATGGTCCGACCGCGCACTGCTTCCGTGTGAGGGTAATGTCGTTCATAAGTCGCACACATACGCGGCCAAGTCATCTTTCCCCCCCCTCTTGCTCAGTGCCCACCACTCTCAGCGCACCTCACTGGCAGCATACGTCCGACGCCCAGTTGTCTCATCTCGCTCGTCGTCAGCGTCAGCAGCGACAGAGAGTTACTCACCTTAAACAACTCGCATAGCGCTTAGTTCGCTCTGTCGAGTTACCCAACCACCAGCCACCAACTGTGAGCACAAGTTTCTCACCTGTACTTGCAACCCTCGGCTAGCCATTCGCTGGCCGAGCGGAACTAGCCTCCCCTGCGCCTGCGTGTGCTTGTCGGCTAACGGTCTCATCCCTTCACGACGAGTACCCCAGCTGCGTCCTGGCCACGGCCTACGTATGATGACGGCGCCTTTCGCTCCCGCCCTCGGCCCGAAGATATCCATACTGACGTGCCCTGCCCTCTGCAGTTACCGGTCGTCCCCTCGATCGGTCTACTCAGCAGCAATTCAGCCCCTAACAAAAACCTCTGTCCCCACCCCAAGAGCCAATGGCCTTCCCGAGGTCCAACTCGCACCCAAGTTGCCAGTAGATAACCCACCACCCCCGTATCAGTCAATCAACAGCATAAACCCTGTCAATACTTACTCCGAAAACGGTTCTATCACAAATGTTTCACGGTCCGCAGTCACAACCAATTCTCTCGGCCTTTTCGAGGTCGGGAACACCCCACCCACCTATGCCGCCATGATGGAGTACACCAACGATATCAACACCCCACAAACCCCAGCAGTCACTGGTAACAACAACGACGGCTCACTCGTCCCCCGTATTCCGGCACCCGCATACAGCGTGCCAACTGCCGATTTCAATCAGTCCTTTGAGAGTCTCGCATCTGAGTACGCGCAGCGTCTCGGTCAAGACGCGTCCCCAATGTTCCCCAATTTGACGAATCTTAACGTCCCCGCGTGGTTCCCGTCCGACTCTGCATCGAACGAGAACTCGGCCGGACCCGCCTCGAGCGTTTGTCCCGCCTCCCCGCTATCTTCTACCACGCAAACACTCGTCGATAACTTTGCTTTCCCAACTATGTATGCGCCTCAAAACCTCGATTTCTCCAACTTTTTCTCCAACACTTGCGCCTTCCCATCCTCTAATTCCTCCTGCGGCTTTTCCGAAGCCGAGCTCGCCTTCCTCTCCGGCTTCAAGTACCCAGCTGCCGGTTTCCCTGCCTCCCCCGTCCCTGTTACTGTCGCTCTGCCCGAAATGGATACGTCCAATGAGGTCACCGGCAAGGGCAAGGCGCGGGAGCTGACCCCCGTCGCACCCGCGCCTCCGTGTCCTATTGCACCTGCGCCCGTGGCAGGTGTGAAGCGCACCGCGTCTGAGGTGGACGGTGTGGATTCGGATGCGGAGGGCTCGCCCTGCACCGAAGTCCACCGCGTGGTATCCAAGCGCGAGCAGAACAGACTCGCAGCTCAACGGAGCCGCGCAAGGAAGGTCGAGGAGAGGGAGGTGCTGGAGGCCGAGGTCGCCAAGCTCAAGGACAAGGTCCGCGAGTTGGAGACGGCGCTGCAGACCAAGAACGCGGAGAACCGGGTCCT